TTGTTCTGTTTGATTTTTGCTTGTTTGTTTGTTTAAATAACAAATTATTTATTTATTAAAGATTTCTGCCTCCTCCCCACCACCGCCTCCCATTTCCCTTCCCCTCCCCCAATCAAGTCCCCCTCCCTCATTAGCCCAAAGAGCAATCAGGGTTCCCTGCCCTGTGGGAAGTCCAAGGACCACCCACCTCCTTCCAGGTCTAGTAAGGTGAGCTTCCAAAATGCCTAGGCTCCCACAAAGCCAGTACGTGCAGTAGGATCAAAACCCAGTGCCATTGTTCTTGAGTTCTCAGTAGTCCTCATTGTCCGCTATGTTCAGTGAGTCCGGTTTTATCCCATGCTTTTTCAGACCCAGGCCAGCTGGCCTTGTTGAGTTCCCGATAGAACATCCCCATTGTCTCAGTGTGTGGGTGCACCCCTCGCGGTCCTGAGTTCCTTGCTCGTGCTCTTTCTCCTTCTGCTCCTGATTTGGACCTTGGGATTTCAGTCCGGTGCTCCAATGTAGGTCTCTGTCTCTGTCTCCTTTCATCGCCTGATGAAGGTTAATATCCAGGAGGATGACTATATGTTTTTCTTTGGGTTCACCTTCTTATTTAGCTTTTCTAGGATCACGAATTATAGGCTCAATGTCCTTTATTTATGGCTAGAAACCAATTATGAGTGAGTACATCCCATGTTCCTCTTTTTGGGTCTGGCTTACCTCACTCAGGATAGTGTTTTCTATTTCCGTCCATTTGCATGCAAAATTCAAGAAGTCCTTGTTTTTTACTGCTGAGTAGTACTCTAATATGTATATATTCCATACTTTCTTCATCCATTCTTCCATTGAAGGGCATCTAGGTTGTTTCCAGGTTCTGGCTATTACAAACAATGCAGCCCTGGTTGTTCTGGAACTCACTGTGTAGACCAGGTTGGCTTCACCTTCAGACATCCACCTGATCTGCCTCCCAAGTGCTGGGATTAAAAGCAAGCACCAATCTATCTGGCTTATCCCAAAGTTTCCTATTTTGCTATGGATAGAGACAGGTTTGTGTAGGGTGTTGTCTTTGTATGTGTGTGTCCCTGTTTGTATTTTCATGTTTTTTATTTTCTCCCTTCTAGAAATGGACTGACTATTTTAGATGAGAAGGAAGGGGGAACTCTCTCTGTGTTCATTTATTTAAGAAGCAATAAGAAAAACAGTACAGACTGGCTGACTCAGAAATGCCTTTCTAGCTTACAGAAACTGGAATCCAAGAGCAACTACCCAGCAAGGATGGTTTCTCCTGCAACCCCATTCCTTGGCTTGCAGACTGCCACCTTATCACTTTGTCTTTAAAAGGCCTTTTCACTATGTCCTTCTCGTTGGTACCTCTCGTTCTATGAACCAGACCTATGGGTGGATTACAGCCCCTGCTTATGACTTCATTTAACCTCAGTTACTACTTTAATACTTCTCTTTCAAAATTCAGTCATAACAGAGCTTAGAAATTTAATTTATGATTTGCATGAAATATATTTTAGTCCAACTCAACTGACCTGTCACCATGCTGCTTCTTCTTTTATTTTTTTATTTTTTTTTTTTAGGTTATGAGGTCCCTGTCTGGCATGCTTTCTTCTTTTCCATCTTCCAGAGCCGCCTTATGTTTGTTTTAAATATAATAGTTACCTGGGACATCCAGTGGGATGGATGGGGATAAACCTAGTCCATTTTCCTGGAAGACAAGACTCTCCCTTTTGAAAAATTTAAAGAGGTTTTATAACTCAATTCAAATTGGTTCTGATTCACAGGAGAGAGGTTTCACTGATAAAGACATACTTTCGTTGACATCTCAGCCACTGGGAACTGGGATGATAAAGAGTACCTCCCCAAGTCCATAGATTAGGGGAAAATATCGGCTGTTTGATGGAAAATTTATCTCCCAAAAATGTAATCCCTCGTGCTGGGAAGGAAAGGCGTTATGATGGACATGGCGAGAGATTAGAAGCTCTGTCTCTCAGAGGAGTCCTCAGCTCCTGGAAGGAAACGTGACTTGTACCTTTCCTGGAGAGAGCTGAGTATGTGTATGTGTTTGTGCACACATGTGCACACCTGTCAGAGAGTGGGATCTGAGAGTCTTGCCCTTCCGAGGCAGAGGCATGAGGTATGTGTTGTATCTTTGAACACCTGAGTGAGTCTAGAAGCGTCTAACCTCCAGGCCTCTGGAATTTCCACACCCTGACGCTGTGAGGGTCAGGAGAAACTCCCTATTGCTTAGCTCCCACCTCCTACTAGGAAGTAGGGGCTTCTTGAGGAAGATTGATGCACAACATTAGTCAAGCCCCAACGTGCCCCGAGAGGAGGTCACAAGACAAACAGCCCCTGCCACGAGCTTCCAGCCCACCACCCAGCATTCCTATTACACTTGGGCCACAGGCACAGTGGATGAGAGTGGGTGTACTTCATTTCCTGCCTCACACAATAAATTTGTCAGTATTGGACGGATCCGCGCTTGCATTCAGGGAGTTCATTTGCAAGGCCACCTGGCTTCCCAGAGCCGCTGTCCTGCTCCCATTTCATCCTGCCTAATGAGCCAGGGCCTGGTTCCTAGTGAGTGGTGCTGAGCTGCTGGGCCAGACATGGCCAGCATTTGCCTCAGCTGCTCCTTGGGGATCCTTGCCATCTGTCTGAAGGAGGTCAAGCTACTAGCATGCAGAGGAACAGCCGTTTTGCTGCAAGTCTGTGCTGCACAGCTGGGAAGGGCATGGCAAGCTGTGCTGCGCAGCTGGGAGAGGCATGACAAGCTTTCACTCTTCCCTGCAGAGGTAGGATTGGGCCTGCTGCAGCTTCCTGGCTGGACAAGCTTGTAATGGACTTCTGGAATGCCTGTCTGTCACACACTGGTTTGGGCTGGTTTCTAAGAATTCTAAGGAAGATACAAAGCCAACAGGGAAATGATGTATGGCATTTGCGCTGCCCATTGCCCCTCACTAGCCAGCAAGGTCTTAGTCTTCCCATGTCTGCAGGCATCCTTGACTCTACTCTAACCACATAGCCTCGGTCCAGGATCCTTCAGTGACTCTTGTGAGGACTCCTCATTCCCAAGTCTGACCTTCTTGGTGCTCTGCTCCTGACCTGGGCCTGGGGCTTACATGATTGGAACAAACATAGCCTTGTCCAGTTACTGGGCAATTATTATCAGACCTCATGCTTAAGTGTGATCTTGGAAATGGCCCTACAGTCAGATTATTTATTTTCTTTTCCCCTCCTGCAAATGGGACATGATAATGATGCCAGTCTCCTATTACAGTATGCATATGTATGCATGTATTATAGTATGCATTGTATGCATGTATTATAGTATGCATTGTATGCATGCATTATTATAGTATTGTATGCATTATTATAGTATTGTATGCATGTATCTCTTACCTGGCCATAGCTCTCACTCCTATCTGAGCCTAAGCTCAGGAAAGTGCCCTGATATCTGCTACTAACTATGGATCCTTCTTTGCCCACATTACATGGAGGTCTCACCTTCACTGAGTCCACAGACATGGAACACTAACCAAATCAGAGCCCCCGGAAGGTTGCATGACAGCCAGAACCCTGAGGACCCAGGACAGCAGACAGGGAAGGGTGGTATAGCCCCATGCTCAGGAGTTACACAGTATGGAGGAAGGTGGGAAGAATGGCAAAGAGGACTTGCTGCTTCTCTATAAGGTAGTTCCCTGGGAGTAAGGGGAAGAATATGAAGCACACCCTCCCTGTGCTCTGAAGGCACTGGCTAGTCTGGGAGCCCAAAGGCCACCCTGACTATAGAGCACACAGTGCAAGGCTAAGCACAATGATCATTTCCCAGCCAGAGAGACACAGTGGGGAGGGGAGCACAGTGAGGAGAATAGGTGCTTGACTCTCTTACCTCTAGATTTTATTGGAAGAATTTAGACCTTTGCTTGCTTCTAGCTGAGAGGAGGCTGGAAGTTGTAGGATTAGCCAGTAGTCCGTGTGCCAAGCTAAATTCAGGGTCCTCTAGTAAAGGGAGCAGGGAAGCTGTAGGATACGGACAGCATCCCTGCCACATAGTGCATAATGGTGCCTAATACCACATCCCAAAGCTTCTGTGCATAGGGCACTCTCACCCTGCCCGGATACATACTGTCACTGCATCCAGCCCCAAGTTCCGAGTCCCCAGGCTGTGCTCAGCCCTCTTCTCTGGTCTTGAAGTAGCTCCTTGGAATTTTAGATCAAAGTTGTGAAGTTTGGGCTTATGGTGGACTTAAAATTTTGACAAACTTTAAGGCAAAAGATGTGTTATTACATCCATAACTAGCATGGGATGGTGGAGAACAGAATTGCCTCAAGAAAGTCACGTGTTTGGAAGAAGGAAAGGTGGCGGCGACAGGTGCCCATGATCAGCACCACCTGCCCCGTGGACTTGACAGTCTCTTGGGAAGTGTTAGAGGCTGTGTATAAGAATAAGCTGTAGGTCAGCTGGGCTCCCAGATGACATGTGTCCTTCACATCTAGTGGCTTCTAGCCCATTTGCTCTGATAAGTGAGTTCTATGTGACTTAACCAGCCCCAGCCAGCTCATTAAGGCTTGCCCATCCCCCTTCAGCTCAGACTCTGAACCCACACCCTCGCTGGAAATGGAGGGCAAGCAACACCTTTCTCTCAGATCTTCATGTGAAACTGCCTAATTTAAAAATTTCAGGAACAAAGTTAAGTACTTGGAAAAAAGAGTGGATGATCAATGTGTACAGATACGGTAATATCCATGTCAGGGTGAGGGTGCTGTTGGACAAGGGAGTGGGATCCTGGACAGGACTAAAGCAGCCCCCTTCATCTGGGCAGGCAGAACCAGTGGCCTCACACCGGGTACTGCTAGATTTCAACAGCCTTCCCGAGACCAGTGGGGTAGAGCAGAGACTCAGGACAGGACATCTGACTGCAGGGTCCTGCCAAGACAGGCAGTCTGCCTGCGGCGTGTGGGACTCTGGGTGCCTCAGACCTGAGGCCACACTCTCGCCTGTCCTGCAGACTCCACCAACCGGGACTCCCTGGACATGATTGAGCGCTGCATTTGCCTGGTGTGCCTGGATGTTCCTGGGACTGGGGAGCTCAATGACACTCACAGGGCGCTCCAGCTCCTTCATGGCGGAGGCTGCAGCCTGAATGGGGCGAATCGCTGGTACGACAAGTCCCTGCAGGTAAGTGCCTTTTTGGTGGCCCTGCAACTGCATAGCCTCTTCTGGAGCTGGCTGCCAGCACACGCTCTCACTGGCTTCTGTCACTCAGACTGTACTGACCATGTCACCTATAGACTAGCCAGAGTTCTTTTCAGGAGACTCCCTGACTGCCCCACCACTGTGTTGGAAGAGCTTGGTTACACCTGGGCTCATTCCCCACCTCCATGGCACCCTGGGGTGGAAGAACACCACAGGGTCACCCAGTAAGTCCTTAGCAGTTCGTTAAACAGGATGATTCTGATCTGACCAGGGATGCCAGATTTTCTGAATGTCCACCACCTGGTTTGACTATTTCAACACACGCCGAGAAGCAGGGCAACCCAGCACTTCCTAAATACACCCTAAGTTATAATCACATAATCCATGGCTTCTCACTCATGTGCATCAGGACAACATCTAAAGCTGACTGAGAGGAAAACGCTCATGCAAATGGGCTGTACTCTAGGTTGGCTGTTTGGTTCAGACCTCTATCCAACCCCCCCCCACACACACCCTGCCTATCCCACAATTTGCCAACATCTAATACAATCTCGTTTGTTTAATACCACCACACCTTCACAGTGACCACATAAAAGCAAGTTAACCGTCTCTCTGGGTTGGGACAGCTCACCCCCATAAGCATTTCCCAGAAAAAGCTCATTTTCTCCTCTCCCCACCCCTGCCTTTGGTGGGTTATTTTCTTTATTGGTTTGCATGGTGATTCTGTTATTTCTGATGAGTGCTGGCTGTTCAGCCTCCACACTGGTGCTAATGGCTTAGGCTCACTCACAGAGCTGTGCTGGGAATGAAACTCAGAATGGATGTCCGGGGCACAGAGCAGAGAAAGCACTGGGCACAGTTTTTCAAAGATCTCTTTTCCTCCTTTCTTTTAAGTGACAGGGACAGAAAAGTGCTCATAGGGCATGGGTACAGATTCACCATTTTGTAGACAGGATGGAAAATAGGTGAGCCGGGTGACACCTGCTACGGAGGTGTCATAAACCTGAACTTGAGAGGATGGAGAGCGAGTCTTCACAGGGAGAGAGAGAAAGGTGCATACTAGAAGTCTAAAGGGACTCTGTGGGTGTGTGACTGTTTGTTGTTGGCTGGATTATTGGAAGACATTGAGATTCCAGGGTCTGGCACAGATAACCAAGACTGGGGGATGGTATGGGAAGAAGCAGCTCCAAGTGTGTGTGCTTTGGTTCCGGGCCATGCTTTCAGGAAACACCCTAAGAACTTGTCCTTTGCTTATTTGTTTGTCTATTACCGAGGGCAGTGTGAGTGTGAGGAACAACAGAGAACCCCACTTCACTTGGGGTATACCCCAAGAGTCAAGCCTTGTCCTTCTCATAATACTTTTGAGCCCCGAGAGCATTCCTTTCCCAAGTCAGCTCAAAGCAGTCTTTGGGAAACCAGGTTTTAAAAGGACCAAGGAATCTTCATGGTGTCTGTGGGTCCCCCAGAGCCTTTCTCTCGAAATTGCATCTCAATCCTGTAAGATGCTCTACTGGGCAGGTTTAAATGAGTCAAGCCCAGGGGTTCAGAGTCCTGAGGACGTCTCCTCCTCAACCAGACGCAACAGCAGACTGGGAGCTGGTGTCTGTTTAACAGGACATTCTCCCCACACCTCTTCTGCCAAGGAACCTGTTATTTCTCCCTACAAATCCTCTCACCACCAAATCACATTGTTATTTTTTATTCATTCATGCAACTCAATTACCCGGCAGCTGCTTTGGGGATGGACACTGGTCTAGCTCCCTGGAATAAAATCAACAGTGGCTCAGAGAAGCAGAGGCAGTCCATTAGGCAAATGGTTACAAAAAGCGGCAGAGAATGGTGTCTGCTGTGCATGCCATTAAGGACAAACAGGACTGAGCACCACTCAACCCTATAGACCATGCACCAGACGGTATGAGCTTGCTAAGACCCAGAGATCGCTGCACTGGGGAACTGGGGCTGCTCCTTCACTGCCTGAAGTCCTGTGGGCGCTTCCCTGAGACTCCTACACTCTCTGCATCACATGCTTTTCAGAAGGCGGGGATCCTTGGTATCCTTGAAGAAGAAACGCCCCAGTGGTCAGGCTGTCCTAACCCAGGCCCAGAACCAAGTTGGAAATGCCCACTGCAGGGTCAGCTCACTCGCCTCTTTCCTGTTGCAGTTTGTGGTGGGCCAAGACGGCACCTGCGGTGTGGTGTGTGAGCACTCCCCATTTGATGGCATCGTTCTGGTACAGTGCACGGAGCACCTGCTGAAACATATGTGAGTCTGGGGAAGAGCAGAGGAAGGCCTCAGAGTGCTGCCGTGAAAAGCCAGGAGAAACTGGGGTGTCAGTCCAGAAAGCGGCTGAGCCAAAGATGGATTTGGAAAGCAGCTTGAGAACTGTGAAATGAGCTTTGTGTGCCACAGACAGACGGGAGGTCCAGATCGGGCGGGAAACCCTGGGCGGACAGGAAGACGCAGGGGATCCAGGCTTTGATCCAGGGAAGCTCTGATTCATCTTTGTTGTTGGTCCTGAGACCAGCAACAGGTACTTGGTGGCCCAGCACAGAGGGAGGTCCCCTCCATCACCAGCTAGGTCCCCAGCCTTCATGCTGGCTAGGGTGAAGCCTTGCTTTTCTGTGCCTTAACCACGCTGCATCCCTTCTAGCTTTCCTGGTTTTGCTCATTCTCTTCGAGCATCTCCTTCACGCGTGTAGGTTCTCAGTCTCTTCCAAAGAGTCTTTGGAGTGATTGAGACACAAACCAACCTTTGGAGATGGAACCACACAGCTAGTTACGTCATTCCCAAGTCTTCCACAAACCTGAACATGGTTTAACACTAGGGCATATAGAAGCAAATGGCGCACTTGGGAGTCAGGCGGAAGCGGATGGGCTACTGGCTGTCATTCGCTGAGTTTGTTATCTGCTCAGTGCTTCTGTGGGCAGTTCAGATTCCCCTAAACTCCGGGAGCCATGCACAGAAGCAGCCGAGATGGCTGCACCGGAAAGCAATGCTGCCCACAGTCCCCGGCTGCAGGGTCTCAGGAGGTTGTTGTCCCTTTGTGTCTGCAGGATGAAGAGCAACAAGAAGCTAGTCCGAGCTGACTCAGTGAGTGAGCTCCCTGCCCCCAGGAGACTGAGGTGGAAATGTTCCCCAGAAACTCAAGGTCACCTCGCCTCCTCGGCAGAGAAACTTCAAAGGTGAGGGGAACCCTAAGTTTCCTTTAGGGGCCCACTCTGCCCCCTCAACAGCTGCTGAAGCACCCTGGATGGTTCCAAAGGCCCTTGGGACTCTGTTTCCCTTCAGGCTCCACCCACTCTCACCCCTCATGGAAAAGCAGTCAAGCTAAAGAGGAATCATGGCTCTCAGGAAATAACCTCGCTCAAATATCCACCATTTTCATAAAATGCAAACATGAAGCTATTTTTTTCCTGTAGGTTTCACCTGAGTAGGCAGAGTCAAGGCCGGGAGTTGATGCAATAAACAACCACTTTGAATAGTCATTTGAATCCAAGCTATTTTAATTTGCTTGGCTTTACACGGCAACTTGACAAGGGGGCCTTTTTTCCCAGGAGAGGGGCTGGTTTGGGCCTTAAGGGACACAGGCAGAAGGACTGTGGGTGTCAGTCCCTGCAGGAGATGAGTGTGAGAACACTCATTTACTCACTCCTCAGACTTGTAGAGCTCTAGTGTGTCAGGTTTGGTCAAAGCACTGGGAACTCAGGTAGGAACGTGCCCTGGGCTTATCCTCCAGACTTTAGCGGGAGAAGCAGACCCTGGAACAAATGAGGTAGAAGGCATGAAGTGCCCGAAACAGACAGATGTGCAGACCCTAAGCTGATGGTGGACAAGGGTTGATCTCTGCCTGGATAACAAGGGAGGTCTTGGAAGGATGAAAGCAGTTTGAGGGACTAGCAGGCAGGGAGGAGGCACATGGTGGCTTGTTTAAGCCACTGAAGGTTCATAAAGATCCGGGATGCTATAGAGACAGCAAATGAGAAGCTGGCTGGAGTTGGGACATAAAAGAGAATCTGGACCACGCTGTGAAGAGCTTACCTTGCTTAGGCTGAGGAGCCCCTCCTCAGCAGCAATTGTGGGGGAGCCAATGAGGAGTCTATGGGGATAGCACGGGTGAGTAGGACAGTGTGGCCCAGCTGGGAAACCTAGAATGGGGGATCCTCACGTGGAGCTGCTGTCGAGGCTGCCTAGCTTTAGTGAGTGTGGAAGGGGTTTCCAGGCGTCCATGGAATGATGCTGACATCTCAGCTTTTATGATGGGGATCCACAGTGGGTGGGTGGCCAGAGGAGGGTCAGGAAAATGGCTGAAGGATCAGCAAGGATCTGCTTATTCTCAGGGACCTGAGCTGACCCTGTGCACTCCTAAGTCCCCCAGCTTCTTCCTAACAGGGCATGAGGAGTCGCCTGAACCTGAATAGTCTGTGACATGTGGCGGGTCTAGGTGAGCCAAGTGTGGGGAGGGGGTTTCTGAGCGGCCATGGTGAAAGAGAAATTTGCCCAAGGAATCTGTCGAAAGGTAGGGGTCTTTCCTGTCCCAAGCAGCTGCATGACTCCTAGGAGCTCAGTTCATGTGAGGCAGGAGGACTGATTTAGGTGGGCCAGGGGGCAGCGGATGGCTACAGTCCTCCTGTAGGTTACAGGTTACTCCTGTAGGACCTGAGACAACGGCATACACCTTGCAGGAAATGCCCCCATGACAGTCAGACCAGACCCCTAACTCATTATAAAGGATGGCACTGGTCAATGTGGGGGTGGCATAGGCGTTTCTGTGTAGACACAGGGAAGCTTCCTGACACTCTGGGAATGATAGGCGTGTCCTGCGAGACCTAGCGGCAGTCACTACATAAGCTGGGATTTCTGTTACGTGTAAAGCAATAGATGAGCAAAGCCCCCGCCCTCGCTGGAGCTACCATGACAGTCAGATATGAAGTCCTGTTGTCCATGGGTGACAGCAGGCTGAGAAGTTAACTGTTAGGACAGCTGAGGATCCACAGGGACATTGGACCCCTGTTCCTACAGTCTCTTTCAGGCTTGTTTTGTAGGCAGCCAGCAGGTGGGAGTGTGTGGGTGAGGCTGACCCTGCCCATGCAAATGTCTCATTTCCATGCTCCCCCCACCTCAGCGCAGCAGCCAGGCAGCTCTCCCTAGAAGGCCCCTTTAGGCTGAGCTTTTCAGAAAGGCATGATAGCTGAAGGTAGGTCTCTGATACCCTAGGGCATTTCTGGAGGATAAGGGCTGTGCACTCACCTTCTGGACCACGAGGGCATGGGCCAGGTTCAGAAAGCTTGGGTTGGCTCTGTGGTAGAGGTGGCCCATCTCACACGCAAAATATCTTCTTTCTCTTCCACAGAATAGTAAAGAATCTGGACTTCATTGTTTATAAGTTTGACAACTATGGGAAAACATTTATTAAGAAGCAGAAATACAGCCCTGATGCCTTCATCCAGGTGGCCCTCCAGCTGGCCTTCTACAGGTGGGTGAAGGCAAGATGAGCCTGCACCCAGGTCAACTGTCAAATCGGGTGCCTTAGAGTCTAGAAGCATCCCGAAGGGAGGTGTGACTTTCAGGGTCGGGCAGAGCGCTGGAGGTGGCCAATGCCAGCTGCACGGAGATGTTGCCATCTGAAGTAGGTTTCAGGTCAGAATCAAACTCCAGAAGAAGGATAGTGTCCTAACTGGAGGAACCGCCTGAGCTGGGACCCAAGAGCTTGCCATGCAGAGCAGGGAGAATCAGGTGGGTTGGGAAGACCAAGAAGCTGCAGAGACTGTCCTCCACCTGATTCCCTCCACCCATCTGAGCCCCTGTGGTGGGACCCCTATCTCCCTGGTCTTCCAAGCCTTGTTCAAGGCATGGAAGCAATGACACCCACCCCACCCCAAGTTAGTCTAATCAAAGACTAGAGGCTCCTTATTGATTTTTCCCTTTATTGCACCCACATAACCCCATATCAGTTCTCCAGATGTCTCTCAAGTCTGCTGTCTGTCCTCTCTACCACCACCATTGGTCCCTCCAAAACGATCAACAACCTTTGATTGACCAGCTGCCTCATAGGCTCCATGGAGCACTGCTCCTATCTGTGCTCCCCATAGTCCTGTATTCACGAAGAGAGGGCTTGGACATGCGCAACTAAGACTAACGCTTGCTGTCTGGTACTCGTGGGGCCTACCCTTGTGCTTTGCGGTCCACCTGTGAACTGTTTGGCCTCCAGATCTTTGCCTTGGCTGTGATGCTCTCTCACCTGTCACTTCCAGTGGAAACGTCACCTTTCAGAGGACTGTCTGGAGATACTCTTAGTAGAAGCAAGCATCTTGAGCTCTGTTGTCACCCAGTTTCCTATCATATCAAAATGTCCCTCCAGGAGCTGACACACCCTATAAAGGTAGTAAGACGTAGAGTCACGACTCACTGTGTGACACTAGGCTTTCATTGGTCTGAGCTCTGTTGTCTTACTCCTTAGCCTCAACTCCACAGACGTTACTGGTTGATGGGAAGTGGGGATTCTGCTGGTCAGGGATGCAAGCCTGACCGTGTTCACCTGGTTTCCATGCTCAGGGAGAAGGGCTTTGTCGTTATCAGCATGAGCTGTGCTAGAATGGTCAGGACACGAAAACAGTGGGTGGGGCTGCCAGGCACAATCCTTCCCATGAGAGGCACCTTGACATGCTTGTGGGCCTGGGCATCCGTCCACACTCCCCTTCCTCACCTGCTTTGGCTAGAGGCCACGGCTGATCCATGTAAAATAAAGCAGGCTTCCCTAAGAGGTATGATGGATTGCCCTTTCATCTGTGCTGTGGCATCAATCAACACTCATTGGGCCTCACAGAAAATTCCAGGTTTCCTACAGATTGGTGGTGTTTGTTTTTCAAAAGCAACCATCACCTCTTCATTTATATCAACATGGTGTCCCCAGTGTATAAAAGTGTACACGGTTCTTCACATCAAAGACTTGCCAGCATTCATCTTTGGAGTTCTCCTCTAGAATTCTATTAACATTAAAATGAAATACTACGCCACGTCATGTCAGAGCTATGAAAATAAAGCCTGCCGGGGCTATTTCTCTTTCAGTATTTATGACTCCCTGAGAACAAATTACTGTTTGCCATCCATCTTTTGTCTTGTTCAGGCTGTATCGGCGACTGGTGCCCACCTACGAGAGTGCATCCATTCGCCGGTTCCAGGAAGGCCGGGTGGACAACATCAGATCGGCCACGCCAGAGGCTCTAGCTTTTGTGCAAGCCATGACTGACCACAAGGCTGCCACGCTGGTAAACCCCTCTCTGCCTTAAGGAGCCACAAGGAAGCCCATGAGGCTGCTGTGGCTGCCCGTGCACTCTGTTCCACGACACGATTCTCTGGCTCCGGCTGCCCTTATGCCCTCTCCTTTGTCCACAGGCTTTTGAGAAACTTCAGCTGCTAAAGTCAGCCATCCAGGCCCAGACTGAGTACACAGTCATGGTGAGTGGTGGTGCCTCCCCAACACCAACTGCTCAGTGACTCAGCAAGGCTACCAACTCTGATTTTTATTCATGTTTAAGTTATTTTGTGGCACTGGGGATTGACGCTGTGGTCTTACACAGGCTAGGCAAGTGCTCTGGCACTAAGCTATAGGCTACGTCCTTTCTTTCTTTTTAAATTTTTCATTTTGAGACAAAAGTCTCATTATGTTGCCCAGGCTGGCCTTGAATTCACTATTAGCCCAGGTTGGCCTTGAATGTGGGATCCTCTTACTTCATTCTGTCCAGTGGCTGGGATTGGTTACAGACTTCTACCACTGGACAGCTCTTGTTTCTGCAACATGGGCAGCACAGCCTTCCTGCCCTCCCCAGGTCCCACCAGAGAGCAGTGAGTAGTATTTGAAATCTGTTGATACAACCATAACTATGAATACTTGTAGCCTGGTCCCTGGAACACTGGGAAGGAGTCAGAATTTATTATCACCCAGGGCTACTTTTCCCTCTTGATTGCTATATGTTCATTTATGTTGCCTGTGCACTGAAGGTCTTTGCTGAAAATTAATAGTGAAATCAAAATTGTGTGGGGACTATTTCTCTAGTTTGAGGGAATAATTTATTTTTTAATATCTCAAAGCCACTATTTGCATATAAACAATAGGGTTCGAGCTAGTGATCAATATGCTAATTACAGATTACTCAAAAACAACCAGAAGGGTGGCAAAAATCTATGAGAAGAATTGATGAAATTTTTCTCTATGTACTTGAAAGCAAACACAAAATATGTCTGGGTTTTAGAATCATCAGTGTAGAATTTCCTCTGACTCCATCCCTAATCATCTTAATAGCTATGCTTGTTCTGTTTAAGCACTGTATTAGCCTGTGCTCCAAGTACTCAGGAGCCCAGAGCAGGAGGATCACAAGTTCTAGGTGAGCCTGGTATATGAGTGAGACTCTTGTCTCAAAAATGTTGCTCTCCATTACTCCAGAAAAATAGCTGAGGCAGCCAGCCCATTGGCACAGAAAAGGGAAAGGCTGCCTTGGCTCACAGCTTCAGAGGTGTCAGTCCATGGTTGGTGGCTTCCAGGACTTTAATGTCTGTGGAATGGCAGTATATCATGACAGGGAGGCCACGATGAAACAAAACTGTTCCCTTCTGTGTTAAAGTAAAAGGGAAAGAAGAAAGGGAGGAGCTGGGGTGCCCAATCCCCTCAAGGGCACACCCACCATCATAGGAAACCCTTCCACTGAACTCCACCTCCTAAAATCTGTGAGGCACCTTTGGAAACATGTGAGAACCAAATGCCAGCAAGAGTCCTCTCTGTATTCCGTGAGTTATCCTTTGTCCTGCTTCATGCTAGGCAGTTTGCTACATACAGAAACAAATCCCTGTGCACTGTCAGTATGGAGTTCAACACGGCATTGAGCTAGAGGAACTTCAAAGTTCTGTTTAACCTCAGAGAATCGTGAGGAGTGACAGGGAACATGGAGGAGCACTCTCTCTCCCCTCCTCTGAAAAGCTGAGATGAATTCCCAGGGGAAGCAGTCCATAATGTGAGGCAGGAAGGATTAAGAAAGAGAAGGAAGCCTGAGTTGGTGGTGCAGGCCTTTAATCCCATCACTGGGAAGGCAGAGGCGGGCGGAACTCTGTGAGTTCGAGGTCAGCCTGGTTCTACATAGTGAGTTCCAGGACAGACAGGGCTAGGACTACACAGAGAAACCCTGTCTCAAAAAACAAAAAACAAAAAAAAAAAAAGAAGAAGAAGAAGAAGAGGAAGGAAGGAAGGAAGGAAGGAAGGAAGGAAACAAGCAAGCTCTGGAGAGAAAGCAGCATGTTGTAGAGGCAAGCATCTTGTGAACACACACAATGAGAGGCGCAAGCATCTTGTGAATACATGTGATGAGAGACACAGGCGTCTTGTGAATGCACGCGATGAGAGACACAAGCGTCTTGTGAATATACATGATGAGAGACACAGGCGTCTTGTGAATACACGCAATGAGGGGCAGGCGTCTTGTGAATGCACGCGATGAGAAGAGCAGCTCAGTGCGTGCAGCTTGCAAAGGAGCAGAAGAGCTGGGTTGTCTGTAACACCAGCGTGGGGCAAAAGAAAAACAATTGCATTGTGTGAGTGGCTTGGCAAACAGAAGCTGTGTGATACTGGAGAAAACTGGTCTATAAACTGTGGCTGGCCAGGGTCAAAGGGCTTCTGATTCAACATAGCATGTCAAACAAGAGCTGAATGTCCCCCACTCTGAAATTGTCCAGAACACTCAGAGGGAGAGAAAACTGGAGGAAAGGCAACAGCAAAGCGTTAGAGCTGGAAAGTCGAGCAGACGACAGTGGCTTAGGGCACCAGCAAAGAAGCTGGAAACCCCAGCGACCTGCACTGCAGCACCCCAGGGTAGCTCAGGCACCCTGGATGCACCCAAAGTCAGAGTGAATGGAAAGAAGAGGGTTGCTTGATGGGTTTTTCTGTTTGGCCTGCTCTAACAGAATCCCTTGAACGAATAATTTATCAAGAGCAGAGATTTTCCACATTTCTGGAATCTGGGAGTCTAAGATCAAGGGGACAACAGGTGAGGCTGTTGGTCCCTGCTTCCAAGATGGCTCCTGCCTCTGCATCTTCCAGACTGGAAGGATGTGCTATGTCCATGTGGTAGAAGGCAAGAAGGCTGAGCTGTGTGGAGGCTCTCTTACAGGAGCCTTGACAAGACAGAACACTCATGTCCTAATCACTTACTAAAAGCATATTCTCTCTCTCTCTCTCTCTCTCTCTCTCTCTCTCTCCCCCCTCTCTCTCTCAGATTTATTACGTACACAGTGTTCTGCCTGCATACCAGAAGAGGGCACCAGATCTCATTATAGATGATATGTAAGACACAAGGTGGTTGCTGGGAACTGAACTCAGGACCTCTGGAAGAGCAGTCAGTGCTCTTCACTTCTGAGCCATCTCTCCAGCCCCAAAGCATGGCCTCTTAATGTATTTCATTGACTAGTAACTTTCAGAATATGGATTTTCAAGATTTCTTTTTCTATAAATAAGAACAGGAAAGTCTAAAAACTATTATCAAGAAATAAAGTTCTAGGAAGGAATGTAGTAGAAACTTCAGTGGAAATACTGGGAGACAATATGAAGCAAACTGCTTTAAAAACAAACAAAAAATGGCTGAGATATTGGAAAGATACAGTGGGTTGTTTGGCTGAACAGTATCCCAAATAAAAGTTGTTTAGAAAGACAAACTGGAGAGTGGAGGGATCATCAACACAGCAACTCAAGAACACAGCAAAGGCTGTGGCGAAGAGCTTGCCACCGATGCTAGTGTAGCCAGGCCTTCAGGGGCTTTCCATACCTAGCTAAACTGTCATCAGACTTGGAGAGAGAAAAAAGACATTTTAGACAGAAGAAATTAGCGTTTGTTACTTACTAAATAATCTTTCTTATAAAACTACTAAAGGCTGCATGTCTCCAAAGAGAAATATGAGACATCGAAGCTAACAAAAACCAGAAGGTTCAACACACACAAACTAAAAGGAAGTAGAAGGACTCCCCAGTATGATGCCAAAAGGAGACAGGAAGTCAACAGCTACTCAGTATCTAGAGAGCAATTAGTACGCAGAGGCCGGATGAGAGAGAGGACAAATGACGTGATGGCCGCAGTTGAGAACTAGTTAGAAGTAGAAGAACAAAAAGTTTAATCAGAAAGGAATCCTATAGCTAAACTGGCAGAGCATTTGCTTAACATGTGATAGGTCCTGGGTTCTGATCTAAGTGTAATACGTTATGAGACCCAACTGCAAATGTTTACATAATGACAGCATCTAAGCATTAGCTGTTGCTCAAACAGCAAAGACTTGAAATATGATCTATTGGAAAGACTGAGAAGTATGGGTAGGTTGAGGAATCAGAAGTTAATGTTTTATTTATTTTTACTTTTTGTTTGTTTGTTTATTTGTTTTGAGACAGTATTTCTTTGTGTATCCCTGACTGTCCTGGAACTCACTCTGTAGACAAGGCTGGCCTTGAACTCACAGAGATCCACCTGCCTCTGCCTCTGGGATTAAAGGCGTGCGCCACCCCCCCCCCCCCCCCCCCCCCCGGCTTACTGTTTTATTTCTTCTAACATGTGTATAAGTCTGGAAAATGCAGTTGGCTCTTAAGCCAGAATTCAGAACAATGAACATAAATAATATCAGAAGGAGTAGCTAAAAAGGCCTTGGCCCCGTGGAGTGGGATCAGACAAAAGCAACTGATCCAGGAGTGGGCAGCAGAGAGAGGAGAGCTAGGAAGGCAGCTGGTAGGTGACTCTAGTACCAGTCAGCCGTGGCAGCAGGGGAAAGACACAGGAACAAGACAGCTTGAGAGTTATTTGATAGAGATAGAAAGGAAAGCCCCATCCCACCCCCATGGGACGGCATGGTGGCTCAGGCCCCCTCTCTACTCTCCTGTCTCTCAACACTCCTTCCCAGCCTCTGTTTTTGGTTTATAGTTACATGCAGTTCACACAATGGTGACTACCGACACAGACCTCTGCCCCTCCACCATCCATGGTAGCAGCATCAGGGATACAGTAGCTCCTGGAGGTCCGAGATGGGGAATGAAATCCGGAGTCCTTGTACCCATGGCTACCACCCCTCTAAAGGACTGTTGATTGACAAGAGCAGCAAGAGCAGGCTGCTTTGCTTAACAACTCGCTGGGTGGACCTTCACAGTGAAAGGGTAAAGAGAGGTCACAGGAGAAAGGAAAAGTGTCCCCTACCGGGGAGGGCTTGGAATCCTTCCTCTCTGTACCAACAGGGAATATAAGAACCAAACCATGGGACCTGGCTGTAGCTCCCTGGTAGAATACTTGCTTAGCGTGTATGAGGTGCCCAAGTCCATCTCCAGCAACACCTTACATAAATAAATTAGGAATAAAGTTCACTGACGTTTTATAACTTGTCTTTTCAGACTGTAATTAGATAACTTTAGAGAGTCCGGGGCCTCTGTGGCATCTTTATGCATTTGTTCTCAACGGAAGGAGAGCCGTTGTCAGATATGAATACGTGCCTTGTAAACCTAAGCAAAGGTCACTGGGAAAGAATGGTTTCAACCCGACAGGGACTGAAACAGCTAAATGGCCACCATACATAACCGAACCCCAAAAGTTGGATTAGTCTGGTGGTAACCAGGTTATGACTACTGCCTAGGAACAGTCTCCTGAGTCTCCCCACTTCTGCAATTGCCCCCAAATAAACACATAATCACAAACAAAAAGCAAATAAAAGAGTGTAGATGCCATCCACCCTGGCTCAAGGTGGAGAGACCTAGAAGAAGGCTCTGGCCCTGGTTCCAGTCCCTGCATCCTCTCCTCAGGCCATCCTGGAGTTCTCCCTCTTCCGCTACACCTACTGAAAAGAGTTTAAACATATCCACGCATGTGTGTGAGTGTGAGTGTGTGTGTGTGTGTGTGTGTGTGTGTGTGTGTGAGAGAGAGAGAGAGAGAGAGAGAGAGAGAGAGCCCACATCATCCAGCTAACATTTTTGCCTTTAGCCTCAGCAGAGCTTTTGCTCAGCAATCTTCTTCCCGACTTCATTCCTGAGATTATGAATCAAATTTCAGTGAGTCTACACATTGTCCCAACTGGGTGATGAACCCTGTCCCAGTTTTGTGTCAGAAGGTGAAGAATTAGTTATGGTGCAATTCTAACCCTGACAGTTTTGACACCCCTCCCCTATTCCTGGATCCGACACATGAGCCAGCCTTTTCCCCACATACTCTTTACCTGGCCAGCGCAGGCTGGTGCGGGGATCAGGCTCACCCATTCTTGTGTTATAGTAGCATGCTGGCGCAGCTCTGTAGCAGGCAATGGGCTCACCTACCTTCCATCCAGACATTTGTAAAGTAGATCCCAGCCCTCTCTGGACACAGCGACAGTATGCAAGAGTCCAGGAGCAGGGCCGGGCAGTGGTGGTTTGTGCCTTTAATCCTGGCACTCGGGAGGCAGAGGCTAGCAAATCTCTGTGAGTTAAAGGCCAGCCAAGAGCTAATTCCAGGGCACTCAGGGATGCTACACAGAGAAACCCTGTTTTGAAAAACCAAAAAAAAAGAAAGGAAGGAAGGAAGGAAGGAAGGAGGGAGGGAGGGAGGAAGGGAGGAAGGGAGGAAGGGAGGGAGGGAGGGAGGGACGGGGGGAGGGAGGAAGGGAGGAAGGGAGGGAGAGAGGGAGGGAGGGAGGGACGGAGGGAGGGAGGGAGAGAGGGAGAGAGGGAGTCCAGGAGCAGAGGCCACATATAAAGCAGTCAGCCTGAGCAGAAGATCATTCAGCCATACCGGCTATCTACCCAGAATAGTTTAAGTAAGGGCTGTGACTGCTGGAGTCATCCCCGGTTTTGAGAGACAAGAAGGGGAAAGAAGGTAGAGAGAAGTGCAGGTCTCATTGTCTTCTGTGTTCCTGACTTCTAGGCCATAACCGGCATGGCCATTGACAACCACCTGCTGGCACTGAGGGAGCTGGCACGGGACCTGTGCAAGGAACCACCTGAGATGTTCATGGATGAAACATACTTGATGAGCAACCGGTTTGTCCTCTCCACCAGCCAGGTACAGCTTCTGTATGTGTGACCAGGGCCTCGTAGTAGAACCAGGGAGTTTCTGAAAACATTAATGACTGGGAATCTTTGTCTCTGTTATTTTTAACATACATACAGCACACACATTCTCTCTCTCTCTCTCTCTCTCTCTCTCTCTTTCTCTCTCTCACTCACTCATAAGTATATTTGCATATTTAATATATGTCAATTTGCAAAAATAATTATACATCCTTACAGAGTACAGTGTATGCTGAATTATCTGCATATAATGGGGAGCAGTCAGATCAGCCTAGTTGGTTTATCTATCAACTTAGTCATTTAGAGAACATTCAATGTCCTTTCTATTAGCTACTTTGAAATATTTGAGTTATTGTTGTCAACCATATCCTTTCTACTGTGCCATCAAACATTGAAGTCAACAAATATCCTCTTCACTCTCAACCCCATCACCCGGCTCTTCTTTTTATTTTTGAACAAATTTTATCTTTACTTGTGTGTATTTCTAGGTATGTGTACATGTATGTGAGTGTCTGCTGATGCCCTCAGAGGTCACAACAGGGTGTTAGAGCCCCTGGAGCTAAAGTTACAAGCAACTGTGAGCTAACTGCCGGATATGAGTGCTGGGAATTTAACTTGGGTCCTCTGGAAGCTTTTAACCACTGAGCCATCTCTCCAGTCCGAGGCTCTACTTCTTAAGTGTTCTGTCTCCTTCCGTAGAATCATCTTAATGTTCAGGGAATTGATATTCTCCTACCTCCTAAGCAGAAATGGCCACAGGCTTCCTTAGCCAAGGTAGGCAGCCTGAGAACACACCCATCTGGGGGCTCTAGGGGTCCTGCAGTACTGTTTTGCCATCTGTCATGTGACTTTATTCCACTGCAGAGGACCCTAGGATCTGAAGCCCAACAGGCCTGTTTGGAGGGTCCCCAATTAGGTCACGGGGATTATGAGAATGAATGGCCAGGCCACCAGCCTGGTGCTGTACATATGCCGATGGTGTTAAAGGACCACAACCACAGGGACAAAATGACATTCTTTAGTGGGGAGCTGCAGGGGAGGGGAGGACACACATGAACACGCCAGCCTCCTGAAGTCACCTTCTCTGCAAACCGCTGGACGTGGGCGGCAAAGGGGGCCGACAAAGCAATGTTGAGGATAAAAGCCCACTCAGTAATTTAATCTTGTCATTAGAGCCGTGAGCTTGCAGACATGAATAAATGAGAGCAGAATACTACAACATAAATTCTTCAGGAAACCATCCATGGGCAGAGAGCACTCTGGAATGGCTTCATGGCCTCAGGCATTGCACGGCAAATTTATCTGACAATGCAGTGACTCTATTAGCAAGACTGATGGCTTGTTCTGCCCCATTAAAATGGCCAGTGTCGTTTGAGAAGGCCCAAGAACACAGCACCAGAAACCTGTGGAGTGAACATGGACTCTGTCCCGCATTACAGGAGCCCAACAATCCCTTCTCCTTTTCCAAAAACCAACTGATAAAATGAGAGTGGGGTGTGAGCCATTCTTTCCTGCCCGAAAGTGGCGCTGATGGCCTGAGCTTTCAGAGACACACTTTCTAGGTCGGAGATCTGTATTGCAAAGCCTCAGCCCTCCGAATTCAAAACATCTTAGACAATTAACTAAAATTCCAGGTGACAGCAGGTTTGGAGGTGCCCGGTGCCGAGTAATTGTGCACGGGAGGGCCTTGGGGAGGAAATCAGGCCAGCCAGGCGGTACTGACAGTAATTACGGATCTGGGGGAAATCAACAGAGAAGATGGGCCAGATTTCCTCCAGTTCATAAATTACTCCCTGTGGGAAGCCATCTAATGGTTGGGTGCCACCAGGGTGCTGTTTAGTAAATTAGCCTGATTGCCACAGCGCCTCAAATGGCCCCTAGATGAAGGAAAGTCTTGGCTCAAGCCGGAGCAGCAGGTCGCCCTGGGAGCTTCCAGCTCTACAAGCAGAGCCAATTGCACACTGGGGAGTGAGTTGGGGTCTCTCTCCCTCGACACCATGCACCTCGATGGCTCCTCTTTATTACCCTAGCCATGTCCATTCATTCATGCCAACACATTCAGTCTGGTCAAATCCAGGATGAGGAGACAGACAGGGAAACAAACAGCACTGAGGTCTTAGGAACTAGGGACTCACCCACCACATCCTAACAGGTTCCAGGCTGAATGCCCCAGTAAACTGCTTCTGACCTGTGCCCTTCTCCAGGTGCCCACAACCATGGAGATGTTCTGCTGTTATGGCCCTGTGGTCCCCAATGGATATGGAGCCTGCTACAACCCCCAGCCTGAGGCCATCCTCTTCTGCATCTCCAGCTTTCACAGCTGCAGAGAGACCTCTTCCGTGGAGTTTGCAGAAGCTGTGGGAGCAAGCCTTGCTGACATGAGAGATCTCTGCAGTGCACGGCAGCCTGCTGAGGGCAAGCCAGCAGCAACCAAGGAACACACTAGAGACCCAACCAAGGCAAACAATCTCAACGCTGGCCACTAGCCCGACCTCCTGCAGGAGCCAGACCCTACCAAACCCTGCTCCCATCCCCCAGCCCAGCTTTTTGTTGCTCCCCTGTCCTCGTGGGCCCAACCCATCAGGCTGTGTGGGGAGGCATCACACAAACCTGGAATGTTAGGAGAAAGAGTCCCTCATTGTTTTTCAAGGTGGTCTCTGGCCTTTACCAGTGAAAATGAGACTAACTCAGCTTGGAAGCAGCCTAGGTGGGCTGGGAGCTTCCTCTAGGATCTGCAAAAACTTAACATTTGTACTTTGTTCCCAGCAGCACCCAGCAGTGTGCATAGTAGTTCTGCCTAATGACAGGATGCATCATCTCGTCACATGGTATGGACCCAATAAGACATGAAGGTAGAGGTTAGCCCTGGATTGTCACCCGCCACCATCTCTCCACACACTCGCAGATACACATATAGCCCGAGGCAAATTAAAATACAGAGGCCCATACCCCCAAAGACCTTCCTTCCATGGTCCACAGCAGTCTTCCTTGAGTTCAGATAATCTCATGCAGATATTCAGAAAGAAAAAACAGAGTGAACCAATTTTCTTCATTTGATATCGGAGGGAACTAAGTCTTTGGGCAAGGCTGTGAAGATTAAAGGTTGGGTTGTGAATAAGGGCTGCATGGTCGCAGAGCCCTTTGGGATGACACTGTCCAGCAGGCATTGTCTGTGTGATCTTTGAACTACTTACTGATCTGGACGAACCAAGCCTATACTTGCAGTTCTTTATTGGGAAATGAATTCACTGTATTTACTGGATATATCAAACCATGCACTGTGAGGGTGTCAAGACTCATGAGTGGCAGACCCTTGGCTGGAGGGAACACCTCCTCCCTTAGGAAGAGACTGGAAGCTGGCCTTCCCCCTCCAAGAACAAAGGCAACACTGAGCCGTGGCCACAGGCTGCTCTGTGGGGACCTGGGAAAGAAGACTCTCCCATGTGTCCCTAAAGAGATGGATGGAAAATGAGACAGTTGTTTGAAGCAGTGATGCACTGAAAGTATGGCCACCTTATCATACTGCTACATTGCCAAATTATATATGAAGTTGATGTTTGGGTTCTATTTTTATAATATAGTTCTAGATTTATGGTAATATGTACATTTTAATTTATAGTTCTGTGCTTTAAAGAAATACGTGTATGAATAAAGAACAGTATATTGAAAGTATTCTATTCCAGATATTTATAAGGACTATAAGTCTGTATTCAATAAAATGTAATGCCAAGAAAAGTGACGATGTTACTGTTCCTACAGACAGATGGTACAAATTCACAGCTCAATGGCCTGTATCTAGACTCTGCCAGCACCAAGGTCAGAGAATGAGGCTTGGAACATCACATGAAGTCAGGAGTTTGAAGCCAACCTGGGTAGCCTAAAAAGATTCTGCATCTAAAAATAAAAGATACTGGGCCATGGAAGAAAAAGGACAAAGGGAACTAAGTCTTTGCTAATGTAAATGGCAGGCCATATTGTGATTGAGGGAGACACAGGTTTCATATGTCATTCTAATTGATCGACAGGAATTCAGTATAGAGATAGGTGTTCCCTGTAAGCATGTCCAAACATGTGTACAGGTAGCATAAAGTAGAGATAAAACCTCCAGTCTCAGAGGCCAGATGTGTGACTGTTGTGATAAGAGCGGCCGGCTACGTTCCTGGCACCCAGCCGCCCGCACGGCTAGCTTTATCTGAAATAATTACACGGAAACTGTATTCTTTTAAACACTGCCTGGCCCATTAGTTCCAGCCTCTTATTGGCTAGCTCTTACATATTGATCTAACCCATTTCTAATAATTTGTGTAGCCCACAAGGTGGCTTACCAGGGAAGATCTTAACCTGCGGCTGTGTCTGGTGGGAGAATCATGGCGACTCTCTGACTCAGCTTCTTTCTCCCAGCATTCTGTTCTGTCTACTCCGCCTACCTAATTTTCTGTCCTGTTAGGGCCAAGCAGTCTCTTTATTTAACCAATGAAATTAACACAAAACAGAAGACTCTCCCCCATCACGTGGCTAACAAGCCCAGGGGCACTCCATACTTCTTAAAGATCCTGGGGAGTGCTGTAGGTCTTCGAGACCATAGAATCCCAACCTGTAATGTGGGAACATTGAGGCCAACACTAATTATCGTAAAGACCTAGCATTCTTGCTATAGGCTCACAAATGCATGCTCATCCTGGTCCTGGCTGTAAGACCCTCTCCACAGATGAGCAATCCACAGTGCCAGAATGGAGTCTTCCAGATGGGGACCCCAGGGCTCTCCCAGCAGAACACTGACATGCACAGGTGAAGGGAAAATGGCTTAGAACACCCCCAGGATGGAGGAGAGGATGAAAGCAATGTGCGTTGTTCTTACCTGCCACACATATGGCAGATGGCCTCCAAACAGTCAGACATGAAAATGCAGACAACACAGAGAACAGGAAGTAGAGACAATATGAAATTATGCCTCCTTTCCATTGGGTGGATGCTGATGTCCGGAGAAAAAGGCAGATAGAATCCCTCTGAATGGTATGGGAGCAACTAGATGTTTCCAAATTATTCTAGAACAGTAGTCTCCTTAGAGGGGAAACACCAGTAGCTGTTCCCTTGGTCAGTTCATCATATATATATACATATATATATATATATATACATATATATGTATTTCAACATGTGTGTATGTATGTGGATATATATGTGTATGTGTATATACATATATATGTGTGTGTATATATATGTATATGTGTGTGTGTTTTTCTGAGCTTTCCTTTCAAAATCCCTTTACATATGAAGGGTAAGCACAAGGCTCTCCTGGGAAGAGCTGGCCTCACATCAGGTGCAAAGACCTTTCTAAACCAACTCTCTTTGGTTCCACTCATATCATGTGCTCCTTCTAGCTCTTAAAGGGTTTTCTGTTTCTACCTCTGTCCCTTATGTCATGGGCCCAAGAGTTCTGTCTATGCTCTCTGTTTCTAACTGAGAAGTAGTGATATGGCAGGCTGAGTTGATGCAGAAGGGCTCCTCCAACTATGAAAACATATATTTAAAGGGAAAATATTTACGCTATATACTGGCATTCAGAAGATAAAAAAATATTCCATCACTTGGGAAGCAGAGGCAGTGAGATCTCTGTGAGTTCAAAGCCACTCTGGTCTACAAAGCAAGTTCCAGGACAGTCAGGGCTGTGTAAAGAAAGCCTGTCTCCAAAAGAAAAAGAAAGGAAGAAAGGAAGGAAGGAAGGAAGGAAGGAAGGAAGGAAAAGAAGACAGAAAGAAAGAAAGAAAGAAAGAAAGAAAGAAAGAAGTGCTCGTCTTCCAGAAAGAAGGGCGCCATAGTTAGCAGGAGCTATAGGTTTACACATGACATGTCTGTCTGTCCTAGCTTCACTCTGTCGCTGTGTGAAAGACCCTGTCCAAGAGCAACATGCAGGGGGGAAGGGTTTATTTGGCTTCCAGTTCCAGGCTGAGAAGTCAGGAGGTGGGAACCTCAAGCACCATATCTGCTGCCAGGATCAGAGAGAGAAGATACACACGGACCCCTGCTGTGCACTAGCAATGCTCAGCAGGCTTCCTTCACTCTGACACAGTTCAGGGCACAGCCCATGAAAGTAGCCACTCATGTTCAGGGTGGGTCTTCCCACCAACTGTCAAGACAATTCCAAGGATGTGCCGACAGGCTGACCTGATCTACCCAGGTGAGCCTAGGTGGTGGTGACAAGTTGACATTTAAAGCTAGCCAGCCCAAGACCACTCCAGCCCATCCGCACACCGCCACTTGGGGCTGACAGGATGTGCAAGCGCACGGAGGGTGGAAGAACTACTTAATGTCCAGCACAATTCCCAAAGGAATCTTTATCCTCCAAAAAGGACTAGAAAAACTCTTCCCATCAGGCCCCTCCCCGCCCCAGGCGAGGCAAGAAAGCCTGCCATCCACTCAAGGTGGTCGATGTAGGGGGAAGAAAGGCATGAGAAATTAAAACCACAAACTTTGCCATGTGAAAATGAAAAAATCTGAATTTAACACAATCATTTTAAAAGGTCAAATTGGCCTGCTACAATAAGACTCAGAGAGGCACATACAAAACCACTTCCCACCTTGCACACATCAAACACCCACAGTGGGACACAGTCTATTGCAGATGAGTTCACAGTCAGAAATACAAAGCGAGGAAATAATGTGCACGACAGGAGCGCAGCGGAGAAAACAAATAGGAGTCAGGACGGCAGCAGCTCTGGGGAAACCGATAAACAGATGTGTCGAATATTGCTAAAGACTTTGTTGAGGGAGACAAGGAACTCGGACGGACATGTGGGAGCTGTTGGGGAAGCATCCTCGTTTGCTTCCTGCTGCTGTACAAATACCATGGCCAAAGGCAGCTTAAGGAGGAAAGGATTCCTTTGGCTTACACATCTCGAACACTCCATCACTGAGGGAAGGGAGAGCAGGAACTCAAGGAAGGAACCTGGAGGCGGGAACTGAAGCACAGGCCGTGGAGGGGCGCTGCTTACCGGCTTGCTCTCATGGCTTACTCGGTTTGCATTCTGATACAGTGCAGGACCACCTGTCCAGGGGTCATACCACCCACATGAATAGACCTTCCCACATCAATTGTTAGTCAAGAAAACGTCCCCCTGAACTGGACCACAGGCCAATCTGATGGAGGCAACTCTTCCCTCTTCCCAATGACTCTGCTTCTGTGGGACAGACAAAACAAAAGCTAGCACAGGGGTATATTAGACAGAATGTGAGAAAGAACTCGTCAATGAGAAATGACTGAGAATATTCCAGAATCTAGAAAACGCTTCTAAAAATCATAGGTCAAAGAAAAGAAGACAGCATAAACTTTAAAATACTTAGAGAATGTTAAAGACATCATATAACAATGCTGCTCCCAGAATGTCCCAGGGTCATTAGGTCATAGGATACCTTATGATGAACTGCCCCCCAAAGTGATACAAGCCATTGCCATTGTTTTCAGTTACCAGCCAGATGATAAGACCCTACTACTTGATTTGGTCTCAGGATACCAATAAATCAAGCTAAACATGAGCTGGAAGTGTGCTAACTTTCATACTGCTGCTGGAGAAAAGGCGGTAACATTCTGATCTAGCTATGAACCCTGCGCACTATACAGTACCAATTTGCCAGGCAAGTGTGCTCATTGGTGTCTGACATGGAAGTGTCCTATCACTTTATTGCTGGATCTGAGGCTCTCTCCACAAGAGGAATTCATGTCTGATACGACATACAAACCTGGTCAAAAACGGTGGCTGGGGAGGTCCCAGACCCAAAGATGGGAACCTACTATTATTGTTTTGCTGAATGGATATTGTGCCAAACTGCCTTCCGGTGTTTATACGCATAGACTAGCGCCCCTCTCTGAAATGTTCAGAGCAGCTTCTATTTGTAGTTGATGCAGACAGGAAGTAACCGCTGAGTGCCTATATCACTTCCTCCATGGAATACTGTGGAAGAGGATGTGGAGAGAGTCTAAGAGCGAGAGGAGAGGAAAGGGTGCTATGAAATGCTATTTTCTAAACATGGCACTCTGAAAGCTAGCCAGGGAAGACACTTCTAACTATTGTGCCCATGAATTCCTAGCAGCAGTGGCTACCTGTGTAAGATCTTTGGGGTTTCAAATGCTCAAGCCAGGCCCAGTGTCATTATCTCTTCCTGATGACTAAAGATCCAGACGTCTCACTCTCACCTCCTACTCTAGCATCAAGTCTGACTGCACTCCGCCATGCTTGCTGCCATGATGATAATGGACTAAACCTCTGACCTGTAAGCCAGCCCCAATGAAATGGTTTCCTTCATAAGACCTACTGTGGGCATGGTGTCTTCACAGCAACAGAAACACTAAGATACCAATCTCGTCAAATCACTGAACTCTGGGTTCAGTGAGAGAGATGGTATCTAGAACCAAGGCCGTGCCAGGCATGGTGGCACACACTTCTCACGCCAGCCCTCAGAAGGTAGCAGTGAGTTCAAGGCCAACCTAATCTACATAGCAAGCTAAAGGACAGCCAGGGTTATATAGAGAGACCTTGTCTCAAAAGACCAAAACCAACAGGAAACCCCGGGTAGCAGGCTGATAAGAGGGCTTGATGAATCCAGGCTCTGGGCACCAAGGCTGATAACCCTGGAACCCACATAGAGACAGA